TCGGGACAAGCTTTCAGAGTGTACCCCACTTCTACAAGGTCCAAGCCATATGTACTGCTTGGACTTGAAGAAGGGGGTGTGATGCTACCCTCTTGAGGGCCACTGTGTTTCTGAGATCCCGCTAAGCTTTGCACAGCCAGGCAACATGCATTTTCCACACTTGAATCCACAGTCAGTGGTATTTTATTAGGGGATGTAACTTGGATTGGGTAATAGGGATTATGGGATGCCCAATGTTACTCTTCCTATGTACAGAAACCGATCCTGGAAAATTCCTTTTATTTGAAAGCCATCAGTTGTATGGGCGAGGGACACGTGGTCCCCCTGGTGGTGTACCCACTCTGCCCTCCTTGCTCCCATTGCTGCCAGGCATTGATCCTGTTCATATCGTACTGCGGAATGGATTTTCCTCAGCCAGCCCAAGCCCAGCCTCCCCAGACTTAGGGGACCCCTCCCAGTCCACTAACAGTCTCCTCAGCACTCCATCTTCCACCCGACTCCTGTGCCAGCCTGACCATCCCATACCCATGGGCCGGTCTCACCACTCCACCAGGGCCTCCAAACCTGGGACCGGTCAGACTCCCACAAACATGCAGACTAGGTCTCCACCTCTTCCGCCCACTGGCTTCTGGAAGGTTTCACGGTCCCCCAGAGCCAGGTGGAGATGATAAGAGTCCCTTCGGCTGGTAACACAAAATGACATGATGTGAGGAGGGGAGCCAGTGTCTAATAGAGGCTGATGATGGATACTATTTTTAAATTAATGATATCCCTGATTGTAACCTGGGGGGTGACTTGGGAGGCCCACAAAACGGTCATACGGGGAATCCTGATTAAACACAGCCCATATGGAAGAAAAATATATTTGAAATATATTTTAAAAAATATTCTTCCCAAATATATTGACATATATTTAAAATGCTGCAATTTTGGTTGTAGTCAATATATTTCAGATTTCTAGACAACAAAATCCGGAAACAAATGCGGTCCACTTTTGGCCAGATCCCTTCAGTACCAGAGCCCGGTGAACTATATTCCTCAGATTTCTTACTCTGATGGTCAGAAGGCCACCCTCCCCAAACAGATTATAGAGGCATTTGGTGAATTCTATTCTTCTCTTAATCTACAGTGGCTCCAACGCAGATGGCTACCTGACCTCCTCTCACTTGCCCCGGCATCCCTCCTCCGTGTGACTTAGATGTCCCCCTAGATGCCCCTATCACTCTGGAGGAACTTCAGATGGCGCAACCAAAATGGGTAAGTCTCCAGGACCTGACGGCTTTACTATTGAATATTATCAGCTTTTGATGCCATCATCGGGCCCCTACATGGTCGAAATGTCCCCCAAGACCTTAATAGAGGCTAATGGCCATTATTTATTTCTTATTATTTTGTTTTGTGTGTGTTTGTACTCCAGGAGCCCTTGGTGTGTAGGTGAATTAGGTGTCCATCTAGCTGGTGCTGGGGAATCGGGGGGTGTCAGTGGGCTGGTGTTTTCCCCTCAACTTCTCTCTCTCCACTGGGAGGGGGGTGATAGGGTGGGTGGGTTTTCCAACTTTGGGGGTGCATTGTGGATTTAGGGGGGGTTTTTTGGTGGGTGGTTGGGAGTGGTTGGTAGGTGATAGGGGTTGGTTCATAGGGGGATTATACCATTGGGGTAGGTAAGACACAGCGGACACCTCTTCCATCTTTGATGTCCTACATGGAGGGTCCCCTCATCTGCGAGGGGGTGGTGCCCCTAATGTTGGATTTGTATATCCTATCTCCGATGTCATATTTTGTGGTTGTTGTACAAATAAATTTTATGTGAGGTTAGCCAATTAGGTGTGCAGCCTTTTTACTAGTAGGTTAGGTGGCACCCTTTCAGATATTCTGGTGGCTTCTCAATTATATGCTTAGTGATTGAATGTGGACTCCCCAGCTTATCTGTTTCCCCTTTTTCTCCCAATTTTTGATGGCCATTACTGAAGAAGAGATGGTTGTAGTGACTGAACAAGGAGGATCTGGGACTCTTCTCTGGATTTAGTGTTTATTCCTCACCTGGGCTGATCTCTGGAAGGATCTCCTCCTCCTTACACGGCTCATAGCCAGAGTCTAATAGAGGCTGATGGCTTCTGAGGACCCCCCCACTGGGCACATACTGTTCCCCCATTACTGTGTACTGACAGAGGAGGGGGGAGAAGAAGAGATGGTTGTAGTGACTGAACAAGGAGGATCTGGGACTCTTCTCTGGATTTAGTGTTTATTCCTCACCTGGGCTGATCTCTGGAGGGATCTCCTCCTCCTTACATGGCTCATAGCCAGAGTCTAATAGAGGCTGATGGCTCCTGACCCCCCCACTGGGCACATACTGTCCCCCCATTACTGTCTACTGACAGAGGAGGGGGGAGAAGAAGAGATTGTTGTAGTGACTGAACAAGGAGGATCTGGGACTCTTTTCTGGAGTTAGAGTTTATTCCTCACCTGTGCTGATCTCTGGAGGGGTTTCATTCCACTTGCACGTCTCATCATCCGTCAGAAGCATCTCATCATCTTCCACTTTTACCACAATCAGGTCTTCACCCTACGTGAGACAATGTCGAATATTTACCCCTTTTAGCTGCCAGAGCCGGCTTTTTTTTTTTTTGCACATGATTTAAAAAAATAATTTTAGGCCTGAAGATTAACCACTTGCCTACCGGATGCTTCTACCCCCTTCCTGCCCAGGCCAATTTTCAGCTTTCGGCGCTGTCGCGCTTTGAATAACAATTGCACACTGTACCCATATGAAATTTTTATCATTTTTTTCACACAAATAGAGTTTTCTATTGGTGGTATTTACTTGCCGCTGGGTGTTTTATTTTTTGTGCTATAAAAAAATAGCAAAAAATTAAAAAAAAAAAAAAAAGTTTTTCTTTGTCTCTATTATAAAATTTTGCAAACAGGTAATTTTTCACCTTCACTGATGTGCGTTGATGAGGTGGCACTGATAGGCAGCACTGATGGGTACTGATAGGCAGCACTGATGGGCACTGATAGGCAGCACTGATGGGCAATGATAGGCGGCACTGATGAGGTGGCACGGATAGGCAGCACTGATTGGCGGCGCTGATGAGCTGGCACTGATAGTCAGCACTGCTGGGCACTGACTGGCGGCACTGCTGGGCTACACTGCTGGGTACAGGTGGGTGGCACTGCTGGGCACTTGTGGGCAGCACTGGCGGGTGGCACTACTCAGTGCCAATCCCTCCTCTGTTACAGCATGAGGAAAATGCAGCAGGTAACCGGCAATTGCATTTACCGGTGATCAGTGTGTCACTGGACACGGCTGATCGCGTGGTAAAAGGCCGCTGTGATTGGCCTTTACCACATCACGTGATCAGCTGTGTCTGTAGGACACAGAGATCACGGAGTTCGCCGGGGGCGCGCAGGAGAGCGCATTCTGGGAGGACGTCATATGACACCCTCCCAGAACTGGCCGGCCGCAGTGAAGCCATCATTCGGCTATCTGCGGTCTACAAGTGGTTAAACAAATCCCCCAAACAGGATCTATTTTCTGAAAACAGACACCCTGGGGAATAAAATAGCAGTGGTTCCAATTTTTTATGTCACAATATTATGGCAAAGGTCTACGAAATGTCCGTAAAAAAAACACACTATAATTAATTTTATGGCAAACAAACACAATTACCCACATTTTTGGTAACATAGAAAGGACGAGGTTGTGCCGAGTAAATAGATGCCCAACATGTCAAACCTCAAATTTGCGTGCGCCTGTGAAATGGGGACAAATTTCAGGACCCTATATTTTCTATAGGTGATGCTTCAAAAGCCCCTATAGTTCATCAGTTCAGTGTTACGGGGGAGGTCTGGTGCTAGAATTATTGCTCTCATTCTGGCATGCGTGGCGATATGTAACGTGTATTGCAATCAACGTTTTCACACGAAGGGGCCCTGGAAAATGCATTAACTGTTGTACGTGTGTATATCCACATATACGGTGGGCCTCAAATTTTTTTTTGGGGGGGGAAATGGTATGTGCTTGGGTGTAGCATTTTCTTTTTTTGCAAGAAAAATTTTTTTTTCACTTTACTTTTTTTTTCCTCATCACTTTTTTTTCTTTTTCTCATGTGATGATTTTTAGGTGACAGGTTCTCTTTATTAAGACATGCAGGGTCTAAAAGACTCCTCTGGGCTCCACTGGATGTATTGCAATGCAGATCGCATTGCAATACATCTATCCCTGACTATTCTAGCCAAGGAAACTGACAACTGTGACCCGGGAAGTGATGTCACATGTCGCCTTCTAGGTCACTGAAAAAACGGGAGGAGAGCAGACATCCACCTGCCATGGTGCTCCCCGGGCCCACAGATGGGCAAGCGGTAGGGTTGCTACCTCATCCCTTTAAAACAAACACATATTAATTACACAGGTTCTGTGGCTGATTAAGGTGGTAATTAAACTCACTTTAAAGTGTTCCTAAACCCACAACAGTACAATCAGTCTGTATATGCAGTAAAGCATGCTTGTTATACTCACTATGGAACCTAAGGGCTTAATCTTCTGCATTGTGTAAAAAGGCTGTTTGATCCTGTCTTCTCTGATCCTCCTCTTGTTCAAATGTCCACGCTGATAAGACAGACTGAACCTGGAGCCCTTCTGTGCATTCTCAGTTTGGTGTGTATTGCTAGAGAGGTGAAGCAGTGACAACCCGATCTCCTACTCGCTGATTAAGAGAACACTTTGCATTCAGTGAGAAAGCAAAGTGTTCTCTGGATAAGGCCTGTGCCATGCAGGCCACCTCCTGTGTTCAGTAAGCAGCATGCAAATCACTTGGCATGGAAGCTGGAACCTGGTGGAGATGACTGGGGTAGCGCTGTCTACAACACTGATTCCCAGCTTCCTTGCGGATCCCACCTGTATGGCACATACATACTTACATTGATTCAAGCTGGATCAACGGAACTATAGAAGAAGTGCCGAACCTGGAATACAGCTTTACCAGCGTCTTATGTATTATAGGTTGTATTACTACCTGATCCTCTTGAAGAATCTCCTGATGTTCCTGTGTGGAGTCCCGGGAATACAGAGGACGGGGACATCTCTCTGGTGGGTTCCCATTACTGGATCCATCTACCTGATCCTCCTGAGGGATCTCCTGATGTTCCTGTGTGGAGTCCTGGGAATACAGAGGATGGGGACATCTCTCTGGTGGGTTCCCATTACTGGATCCATCTGTAGGAAACACACACACTGACTGAATTTACATTGTTTCTATGTCTTTACATCAGAGATTGTGTGTATCTAGGTCAGAGGGCTCTAAACTGTGCCCCTTTGCTTGCCTTTATCCGGCCCTTGTGGCATTATTCCTGCCACTGACACCAACAACGGGGCACCATTCCTCCCACAATGGGACACCATTGACATCAACAATGGGACACCATTGCTCCCACTGACACCAACAATGGGACACCATTCCTCCTCCCACTGACACCAACAATGGGACACTATTTCCTCCAACAATGCATTATTCCTCCCACTGACACCAAATGGGACACTATTCCTCCCATTGACACCAACACCATGATGGAGCACTATTCCTCCCAATGATTGATGGGGCACTATTCCTCCCAACTGACATTGGGGCACTATCCCTCCCACTGATACCAACAATGGGGCACTATTCCTCCCACTGACACATGACAGGGCACTATTCCTCCCACTGACACCAATGACGGGGCACTATTCCTCCCACTGATGGGGCACTATTCCTCCAACAATGATGGGGACACTATTTCTCCCACTGACACCAAAAATAGGGCACTATTCTCCCACTGATGGGGCACTATTCCTCCCACTGTCAACAACGATGGGACACTATTCTCCCACTGACAACAGCGATGGGATTCTTCCACTGATGCCAACGATGGGGCACTATTCCTCCCACTGACACCAATGATGGGGCACTATTCCTCCCACTAACACCAATGATGGGGCACTATTCCTCTCACTGGCTGTCTCCTCTTACCTGGTGATGTGAGGGGTGGCCCGTTCTGCACCATGCCGTCCTTCTACAGATCCTTGTAAATACTCACTCCCATGTCAGACTGTACTTGCAATATAAGACAGTTTAAAAAAGATCATTCTGCAATAAATTAACATTAAAAATGTATTTGAAAAAACAGTGAAAAAGTTTGTTTTTGTGTGTGTGGGGGGGGGGGGGGGAGTGGGAGGAAGGGAAACCCCTCTTAGTTGTTGCCTGATCAAGAGCCCTCCCCCCCCCCCCTTCCAGTCTCCCCTCTATTTCTGTTCTAGTGTAAGTGATTTTTAAAATCCCTTGGTCAGTGAAGTGGCTTCACGGTGCCTGACAGCGGACGGCTGACAAAATACCAGGCGCCAGGACGCAATTTCTAGTTGCCATTTGTCAAGCCCTGCATGTGTGGAGGAAAGGCTGGCCCGTTGGTCTGATCCAATAGAACAGCTACTATAGATCAAATTTGTGAAAAAGGTAAAGCTGGTTCCAATAGAAGGGTGTCAGAACACACAGACCATCATAGTTTGTTATGCATGGGGCTGAGTAGCCGCAGACCGGTCAGGGTGCCCATGCTGACCTGTGCCCACAACCAAAAATTGCCTACAATGGGTGAGCATCAGAACTGGACCATAGAGCAATGGAAGAAGTGGCCTGCTCTGATGAATTCCAGAATGGCTTGAGGAACACAGCAAGTTTGAAATGTTGACTCCAAATTCTCCAGAACTCAGTCTAATCGAGCATCTGTGGGATGTACTGGAAAAACAAGTGTGATCCATGGAGGTCCCACCCCACAACTTATAGGACTTAAAGCAGAACTACAGTAGGGAAAATTATTTGCTCGCCTGCAGATTTTGTAAGTTTGCCCACTTACAAAGAAATGAAGGTGTGACGGATGCGGCGTCAGACCCCAGCCCTTCTCACCAAACTCGTGACAGAAGGACTAGCCAATCTAAAACTGCGCTGTCACGTGCATAACAATGCCACACCCAGCTGCACCCTGCACAACGATTTTCCAGCTAATGGACCACAGATCTACGTACTGGCAGCCTGGAAGCGATTTTTACTGGTTCAGGCTAATTAAGCAAATAACCCTTCACACTGCCACCACCACCTCCTTTTTATACAAAGAGGAAACTCAGCAAAACACTAGGATGATTGGTTAACCGTCAGTATCCCGCTATCTCTGCAGACCGGTTATACAGAGGGTTAAATACTCATAGTAGCGTTCTCTTTAGAGGCAGGAATTCGTAAATTGCAATTAAGAGCTATAGAAACAATTCAACACTTTTAGAAAGTAAGATTTATTACTAAAAGGTCAAAAGAGTGCAGTAGAAATATTTACAGAAAGAAGATGTAACCAATATATATATATATATATAATTATTCAGAGCACAACAGCACAGCAAACAGATAACAGAAAGAAGTTTAGATAAATAAGTACTTGCCAAATAAATGCCTGGGGTTAAGCAATTTCAAGTCTGATGAGCTAAAAAAGGGATTTCTGGTTTCGCATTGGGTTTCGTTGTTGTCGCGAGATTCTCCTTTGCTTTCTGTCCGATAGATGTTATATCGTAGACGGTCCTCACTTGTCTGACTACTCACAGAAACTAACAGCTTCTTTTTCTACACAACATCAACTAGTATCTTCCCTACCTTATTTGGCAGAGGAATTGTTAGGCAGGGCTCAGCATCATACGCTGCTTGCATTCCTGAGGGAGGGGGAATGAGGAGATACATGAAGCCTTCTTAATACAGGGAGATCCTGTGCCTAGCTCTTATATGCACGATACTACACCTTCCCCTCTCAGGTGACTGCATATTAGTTTAAGAGAAATACCACTATGCAGAAATTTGGAGCAAAATGGAGAACTGCACCTCTCCCTGTGTGCATGATTGTGGCACCTCCCCCGTCAGGTGTTTGCATGGGAGGGGACTACAATTTCCCTCTTGACGCAACCGACCTCTGCCCAGAGGTTCACCTTGGGTTGACAGGGTGCTATTGCACTGCGGGAGAACCAGGCTCCTTCTGTTGTGCTGACCAAGTGAGTGGTCATGGGGGAGCACCAGTCGGCTGTGACTATCTGGATATTGTGGGCGACTGCCGGGGTGCCCACCTGTTCACAAAACACTTCGGCTCAGGGGTGTCATCTGCTAACATATTGAGATGTAGCTTTTTGTCGAGGTAGAGAGTGAGCTTTCCCTCTCCCATCTCCTTCCTCTGAACCAGGACTACATCTGACCCGAAGGTAGTGGCGCCTGTGTGCACCGGAACCAGAGAGGCGAATTCTGGAACCCACCTCCCAGATGTGTCCACAGGTACCTTCATCCAAGATGAACAGTCCTCTTTACCTGCTAGCATCCAGGACACTAGTTCTGTCAGTTTCCTGTCTGCCAGGTCAGCCACGGGTCCAGGTGAGCCATGATAGTTGCACTGTGGTGTCTTACCATAGCCAGCTGCATCCAAGACTGACGAAACCTGATTTTTGACCTGGGGAGCCGGCCAGGCCATAATTGCCTCAGTCTCCCCCATTCCCAGACCTCTGGGGGTCTCTTCCTACTGGTGGTTCCCAAAGCTGAACCACTGACATGCCCCTCTGACAGTTACCATTCTCAACTGTCAGACTAGGCATGGGCAGTTCGCTCCTGACTAGTGACAGGGGCCCAAGTTGCTCTTCCCAGACAGGGCCGAACACCACAAGGCCCCTAAAGTGGGCAACTGCACCCAGTTCCATTCCACATTGAAGGCCATTCCTGACCCCTGGGGAGGTGGTTGGTGCGTTCTCAACTCCAAGTAGCTTTCCCAGAAATTCAGGCAAGCCACAAGGGGTGGTGAAGGCTGACTCGTCCTGAGCCTCCTGGGTTAGAGATGGTGGCCCAGATCCTCTGCTCAGGTCCATGATGGTTAGACAGCAGGCCCCTTCCGGATGCTTCATTACCTCATGGCTCCTGGGCATGGGGTAGGCCACAACCACAGGGCTGGCGCTCAGCTTCCCAAGGTCCTCACAAAGTCTGGTCATCTGATCCTGTTTGGGGACCGAGACTACCGGGGATGTCCAGACTCCAGCTGATCCCTGGATTCCTGACAGCACCATTCCCTCTGTCTCTTTGGCCCGTTCAGTCTGCACCTCCTGTGAGATGAGGTTGGCTGAAGGCATGGGGGAAAGATACACCCTGTCGTCCAACTCATAAACAGCACGGTGAGCTCTCCCCGGGTTTTCCTGAACTCTGACACCATCTCTCATAGGCCTTGCCAGCAGCTCCTGTACCTGACTGGAAAGGAGAGGCGATTGGAGCTGAAGGCCGCAGCCCCTTCTCGGAGACCCGCTGATCAACTCCAATGAGGCCCCTCGCACTTCCAATCCAGGTGTGCTGTCACTGCCTAGGACACATGTTTGTCTGCCTGGTGACAAACCAGGACAGGTCAGATCATATGACATGCTTTCAGTCTCCCTGTCAGGCCTTTGTTTACCTTTCTCAGCAGGGAAGCTCACAGCTATCTGGCTGCTGAGGTCCATGTATGAATTGCTTTCCAGTGCTGCCTTACACGTGGAACTACAAGTCCCAGCCGGCTGTCCAGTACCATGCCCGGAAAACGCCTAGACGCTTATCGAAGTAAAATCCTCTGGGCCTGGGCAAGGAACAGGCCTACTCAGACCATCCCTTTGCTCAGCCCCCAGAGATTGTACCTCTGCCCCCTTCACAGCACTGTGGTTGACCCCCAAAAATGAAAATGCATCAGTTTTATCCTCATGACCATCATCATCATTAGCATTACCAACCTTATCATCAACGTGATTGACATTATCAATATCAGAATCATCGTCATCATTATCATCACTATCATTGACCGTATCAACATTATCAATATCAGCTTCATCGTCATCATTATCAACAGGTACGTTTCTAATGTCCATGACACATGAGTTCCATACCTCCCCAGACAAGGGGATTTCTTCTCCTTCTCCAGCTAATGGAGAATCCTGTAGCAGCACTCCATTCCCGGCCCCCTCCCTCTGTCCATCCACAGGTTGCCCAGACATTACCCCAACATCTGCACACAGTTCCACGGCATGTCCAGAGAGTTCCAGGGGGGGCATACGGGTATTCTCGGCAGGGGCGTAATAGGACACAAGAGTACCCAAACCGGCACCCAACAAAACAGGTGTGGGAATTTCCTCCGAGACCCCCACCTCCCTCATCCCCCTTCCCGCACCCCAACTGATGAATACCTTTCAACAGGGTATGCGTGAACAGGTCCCCCCAACTCCTGTGAGGGTAAGGAACTTTCCTGGGATGAGGTTTCTTGGTTTAATCACCTCTGGCCGGATCAAGGTGACTTCTGCTCCGGTGTCCCGGAAACCAGTTACAGACCGGTTGCCCACAGTGACTGGCTGCAAGTTGGCAGGGGTTACCCGCATCTCCCTGCGGACAAACAGCACTGAAGAAGAGTTGCTGGCCGGCAGGCCAGATGATGTCATCTGCTTCTGCTCAGGACACTGCGTCCTGAGATGTCCGGGCATTCCCACAGGTGAAACATCTGCGGTTGTCAGGCAGGAATGGCGCTGCAGGTGTTGGATGAGGGGGATCTTGACTCACTGGCGTAGGAGGGGTTGTTAGGGGCGTTTTCCCTCTTTTCCAGCCGTTCGGAGGAGCCTTGCGTGGGTCAGACACCCGCGTGTGGACAAAGGTTTCTGCAAAATCGGCTGCAGCTTTAGCAGAGGCTGGTTCTCTTTCTAAGACAAACTGACGTCTGCCGGGCATATATGCAGGAGCTGATCTTGTATCATGAGATCTTCCACAGACTCGTAGGAGTCAGCTTTCAGTCCTTTAGTCCACTGTTGGAATGTGGTGCGTAAGCGACTCGCCACATCCGTGTAGGAGTCCCCAGGTCCCTTCTGCATGGACCTGAACCGCTTGCGGTACACTTCCGGGGTCATCTGGTACTTCCGGATGATGGCATCTTTTAAAGCTTCATAATCGTCATCCTGCCCCTCTGGCATTTCAACAAACGCATCCAGGGCCTTGCCTCGTAACCCTGGGGTCAGGTACCAGGCTCTTTTAGCTGGCGTTCCGCAGCTTCTCTGTCAGCCGCTGCTTGGCATTCTGCCACCTCTCTGTCAGCTGCTGCTTGGAGTTCCGCCACCTCTCTGTCAGCCTGGCGTTCCGCAGCTTCTCTGTCAGCCTGGCGTTCTGCAGCTTTTCTGTCAGCCTGGCGTTCCATGAACCGCAGGTATGCCTCAAGATC